TACTTTTTATTGCTTTTATCAAGAATATGTAATGTTAAAATGCTAATTTTTAAGTTGTTGTCTATCAGATTTATGACACATTATACGAAGGCAATAAATTATACATGTTTACATGCTGTGGGCATATGTTTATGTGTGAATTTTCAATTGCTTTAATTCATTATCAAGATCGAGAATCCATTGTTATTGATAATCCATTTTGGAAGGGAACATTATTTTACATAGCATAGAAAAAGACATAAATTGCAAAATTTTAGTAAACTTGCTAGTTTTGCACTTTAAACATTTCCCAATCAAAATCAAACTCATCCCGACTGGAGTTAAATAATGTAAAAATGTTTATTTGTATTCACAAATACACTAGAATGCTTTGTTTTAATATCGTTTAAAAATTGACTGAACTTAAAAAAGTGAATTATTTTTCTGTGGTAACTGCATCAATAATTATATAGGACGTCGCTTGTGATTATCTTTTTTTTTTAATGTTGCTTCAATTCTTATCAGAATTGGTGCAAATTTGAAAATAATTTAAAGGACTTTTCAAAGATATATACATACGAAGCGTATAATATACGAAGCGTTTGATTCATAATCAATGATTCTTTATTCAAAAATAAAGCATCAAATAGTTTTTTTTTCAACTGTCTCACCTACTTTAAAAGGCGTTCATGTTATGGACATATAATTTAATTTTGTTTGTATTCTAGCCTCTGATTGGTATATATCCAAAAAGGAACACAAATTATTTCTGTATAACCTGGTTTGGTATGGGGACACACCCACTTGACAACCAGCTGAATCATCTGTATCCATACAATCCTCTCATTTCCAGTCCTCGGGATTCATGGAAAATTCCAGATTTAATAAATGTACCTTTAATTTCAAACGATAATTCGATCTTACCACATGTAACCAAACAACATGGCTGCTAGGCCTATGTATCAGTTTTTACCTCCCCTCGCTTCCCATCACTTCCGTTACTACGGTTGTATTATTTAGCGGCAAATTTGAACTAATAAAAAGTAACGAAATTTTACACCCATAGTTATTTAATGATTTTAAAATTAAATTATAAGGAATGACTCTAATTCTTGGCCAAATTATTCGAGTATAACCTGGTTTGGGTCAGTTTACGCTGTTTTATAATCCGCTTCGCGGATTATAAAGCGTAAACTGACCCAAACCAGGTTATACTCGAATAATTTGGCCAAGAATTAGAGTCATTCCTAAAATCTTCAGTACTGTAACGCGACGCATCTAAACTAACAATTAAATAGCCATGGTTTCTAGTATTAATGTATCTTGAGCTGAGTATTAGGATGAAATAAGTGTTTTATAGGTGAGTTTGGACAAACTGAGTAAATCAATTTTTTAAAACTGATAAACCATCATTTAATTGCTTCTACAATTTATTTCAGTTAATATATTGTAATTAAGTCTATAATTCTAGAGGCTACTACATTTATGAAAATGTCTTGTAAATCTAAGTGCTAATCTACAAACAGTCAAACACACAATTTTCTTATATACGGAGCCGGTTAAATGATTATTTTGATAAAATTTATTTACCCTGGATTAAAATTTTCCATTCAAAATATAGTTTTCATGGACGAGAGAGCGCTCTAAAAGGCAAAAGTCTGGCAAATGTTCAGTTTTCATCAGTGTTATGAATTTTAGTTGAAAAGACATGAATCCAAGAACACAGACGGACAGGGAGTGAAATGACCCAGGTAGGAGAGTGAAATGACCTACCGTGAAATGGTATTGGAGAGAAATAACCCAGGAGAGAAATGACCTGACACCTGTGTAACCATAAGTGGAAGAGTCATTTATTACCAAATAATGGTGACCAGAAAAACCAACAGCGACTCACGATTTAGAAATTAACCCCGTACTTTTGTTTTTGTTCCTAATATTCAAAAGCCTAGTTTTTACGAGTAGTTGTCGTGAGTAATGGTTGTATAAAGTGTAGAAAAATCCTGTTTTGATGTTACTGACTTTAGACTGGACGCGTTATTACTGGTGATGTAAATATAGTTAATAATGAGGACCTTAGATCATTAATTTTAAAAGGTCTTAAATATAGGGAACCCCGATCCTTCAACTGGCGTCGGAATTTCATAAATATTATGGATTCTGTAGAGAATTACGCCAGGCGATGGGCCAGACATGAAAAAGAAGACCTTGACACTCTCTCAGAATGGATTAAATGTATCAGATGTATGTTAAAATCGCACAATAAAGATTGAGGGGCAATTTGAGAACCATCTATCCTTCTGTATTCAATAATCCAGAAGTGAAAAAAGAATTAGATAGATACAGGATCAGTACGTACTGGTCCCTGCTGGCAAAGCAGGTAACAACATTGTCTTTGTTTGTAAGGCTCATTATATTAAATGTATTTTAGAGGAACTTGGATTTAATTCTATAAGTGGTAATCCAATTTATACTCATAGTTCCCTTTCTAAGGAAGACATTCTTCAAAATCATAGGTCAGTTTTGAATATTTTTAATATTCCAAACAACCAAAGTGAATTTGAATTATCATATCTATATTGGATTCCGAAACTTCATAAAAATCCATAAAAACAAAGATACATAGCGAGTTCCAGTTAATGTTCAACCAAGCCTCTTTCTTTACTCCTCACTAAGATATTAACAGTAGTGAAGGAGAAACTTCAAGAGTACTGTGCAACAATATATTCGAGAAGTGGTGTAAAACAGATGTGGATACTTAAAAATTCCAAGGAACTTTTGGAAAATTTGAAATCAGAAGAATTTACCAAAATCAACAGCTTAAAGACTTAACGACTTTTCAACTTTATACACAACCATTCCCCACGATAAATTAAAGTCCAGGCTTTTTGATATCATTGACAGCTGCTTTTTCAATAAAAATGGAACTCGTAAATTTACTTACCTTGTCATTGGTCATTTGCAAAATTATTTTGTTAAAAAACATTCTGATTGTACACACAAGTACTCTGAAGTTGACATCAAAAAGATGCGTGAGTTTCTGATTGACAATATCTATGTGGTTTTTGGAGACCAGGTCTTCCAACAATCTATTGGAATTCCCATGGGTACCAATTGCGCCCCGTTATTAGCAGACCTTTTTTGTATTCATATGAAGCAGAATTTGTTCAAAATCTTATACGTGAAAGGAAGAAAACACTTGCTGTAGCCTTCAACTCGACACTTAGATATATCGAAGACGTTTCGTCAATTAACAATGGTTATTTCCATTCTTATGTCGATACGATATATCCCGGTGAGCTTGAGATAAAAGATACCACAGAGTCTGACACATCTGTTTCATATTTGGATATTTTACTTGAAAAAGACGTTAATGGCAATCTAACAACCAAGCTTTATGATAAACGTAATGACTTTAACTTTTCAATCGTCAACTTCTCTTACTTATGCAGCAATATACCTTCATCACCTGCATACGGGGTTTATATCTCCCAGTTGATTCGATATGCAAGAGCATGCTCTACGTATGTACAATTTCTAAAACGAGGTAAATTATTGACAAACAAGTTGATGAAACAAGAATTTCCGCAGTCTCATTTAAAGTCATCATTTCGTAAGTTCTATGGTCGATACAATGACCTTGTCAGCAAATACAATTTATCATTGAGTCAAATGCTGACAGACGTTTTTCATACTAATTGTTAGTCCATTATTTACACACATAATTGTCGACGGATTTTTTCGTTATTTCCCGATCAAGGAGCACACGGGACCGGTCGGCAAGGGATGCTCACTCCTCCATGGCACCTGATCCCACCTCTGATGTTTTGGAGGTCCGTGTTTGCTCTGCTCCTATTTTGTATTGTTTAATGGACTGTTGAGCTTGAATAGTGTTCGTTATCTCCATATATTTCATTTAGAAAAATTTGGAGATTTAGAAACAGTTTTATTTTCTTATCTAGGTCATGGAGAATTTTTTAAGACGTCATTTTTTTTTCTTCAAAATTAGCAGCATTCCTCTGCAAGATCTTGGAATATTAATTTCTTTTAATTTTATATCTAAGATAGGGCATTTTGTTCAATGTATTCATTCAAACAGCCTGTAGAACATCCAGTAGTGGAGAAAAATATCCTACAAAACTTCTGCTAGGTAAAAACCAAACCCTCGGAAAAATCCTTCATGTTAAGGGTATAGATTACTAGTACCTAAAATCAGTGATTTCACATTTAAGAGAATTCTATTTTTGAGCTATCACTCTTCTTGTACATTTATGCCTTCTTCAAAAGCAACACCGCTATTGGTTGATGCAATATATGCCTTACCTTTGAATAATACAGTTTACAAAGATGAAAGTCAACACTTCGCATTCTCTGTTGAACCGCAGGATTGTCCTTTCGCAATTGAAATCTGTATTTTAGGCTTCTATAAGACATTAGCAATTCGCAACAAATTCCAGAAGCTATGAAGCTGTAATTGTCACGTTGCAAGTAATTAAAAGATATTTTTTCAATTTCCTCGAATAAAATCAGGATGTCCTGTTATGAAAAAAAAGTGGTCCGTCAACAAAAAATTTAGTATAACAAAATGTCAAACATATCATCGCGCAGAGTTAACTGCATACCTCAAATTCATATGGACCATATATTATGTTAAACCAGTAGTTCCTTGACCTTATCAAAGACTCCAAGAGATTGCCATCCCCCTTCTCCAACAAACGGACTAAAATCAATCGATATTAAATACAGTTAAAATTTTTATAAATATGAATGGTGTAATAATATTTTTTATGTCTTTCGTTTTCTCTCTTTATATTATTTACTTATTTCAACTTTTTGATCTGTTTAGGAGATGGAATGGTTATAGATGAAAACCTTCTAAATTCAATGTTTGTTTGCTAGTTATACAACAAAAACTCATACATTCCCAAACATTCTATGACTGCAAATTGAAATAAGAATATATATTTGGTAATGGCAATAAGCAAATGTTAACATTAAATGAATTCATTATTACTTTTTTTTACCTTTGCAAAAACACTTCAGGGCATAAAAATTATCAGCACACTGAAATTAAAAGTTTTTAAACTAAATTGATAAATTGTTTACTTTTTTAAAGAAATGTATCAAGTCATGTAATGCCTATCGAACTGTTCAGAAAGTTGTATAAATATCAGATACCTTTTCAAATATTTTTGTCAGGTCTTTGAAAATGTTGATGTCCATTTCGTCTGATAGTCTTTCAAAAACCGTTCGTGCTATTTCTTTTGCCTCTAACATATGATCTGATTGTAGTTTATTCTTTGCTTGTTCTACAAAGCGTTTCATTTTTTCTTCTGTTGTTTCCTCTTCATATGTTTCTGAAATTTCGATTGCCTGATCACTGTCATCACCATTTCGTTCTGTTTCATTTTGAAATAAGAAACAATTTGCAGAAAAAGCAGTACATGAACAAAATATTTTCAATTAATTAATGTTCAGGATAAAAGCATTTCAGTCATTTATGTCATTTAACTTCAAGGTTTTTACATCTGCATCATAAATATGAAGAGAAATTACCATAGTTAAGAACTGCTCTGATTTTCATCTGTTTGGCTCCTTTCATTATTTGTTCGTTTTTTCCCCCTAGCATGGCCTGGAGTACCTCTGGAAATTTGTTTTTCTCTATAACTTCTGAGATCTTCGACTCTGGACTCAGATAAAAGACAATACCTGAAGCAAAAATGAAGTCAATGAAAGGAAATTACTTTGTTGTATTATCATGAACAAGTAATTATCAAACTACTATTTTACAAACCTTTTCCAGGTTCCTCATGAAATTCCTCATCCATAGATGTATTCACTAATAGACCAATTCTCATGATTGAGACTTCTGCTAACTTTTCTTCCACGCCTTCTGCTTCGAAAATTTTATGCAGCAGAGTAACAATTGGTCCTTTCTTTTCAGTAAGACTTCCGTACGTAATACAGGACTCTGTTTTTAGAATGACATGGGTCACTGAGTTTTGCCTTAATATCTTTATAATTTTCAGATGGCATTCCGATTCAAGCCAATAATTAATTGTTGCCAATTGCTTTTCTGTGTAGTTGGTAAAAGCTCCCTGAATGTCCTTGAATCTGAGATTTTGTGGATCTACGATATCTCCCTTGATTTGAACCCGCAAGTTTTCGTCAACTAAATGAAAAATGAACTTAGCCTGTATTCCACATTAAATAACATGCATATAATGTGCAAATAGTATATTGTGATTTTTTTTTTTTAGAAAATTTATCCAACCATCATTTTCTTCTTCATTGTTTATCCTTGAAAGTCAATATACTCTGGAATCACAGGGATAGACGTTAACTTTCAGAATCACTTGCCCGAAGGGCAAGTGATCTCAAATTTTGACTTGTCCGAATGCAAAACTTGGTTGCCCAAATAGGAAAATAATTTATTGCCGTAAATATTATGATAAGAAAAAGTGTGAACAGATACACTACTATAAATCTGGCAAGTTGAGGTACCAGAAAAAATTTAGATGGTACGTTTGGACATAAATGTATACTACCACTTTCCTTGTCGATTTAATCTGTAAACGCACACTGCAATGCATCAATAACCATCCGTTTCCTTTTCAATAAAAAATCATTTTGGGTAGGATCGTTTTGTTTTGTGAATTTTGATTGATGCAACGGTAAGGTAGATAGTTGCTATGAAACATACATATCTTGATCAGGATAGGTCATGTTATATTCTGTCAGTGTGAATGAATTAAGTAGTTAGCAAAGTACGTAGAGCGTATTTAACATGAAATAAAAAAGACTAACGAACCCGATTTTTAATGAACGATATAATCTAGAAATCCAAGGGAGCAATGTCAGTCATGTATCTGGCGGAAATCAGGTGTTCAATCTATTGTTTTATTTATAATTAATGTAAAATAGATACCAATATACATTTCTATCAGAAAAATTCACTTGCCCGATCGGACAAGTAAGTTGACAGTTTCACTTGCCCGAACAGAGAATTTACTTGTCCCGGGCAATCGGACAACCGTTAATGTCGATCCCTGAATCATTTTATTTTGTACCCTGATTTTCACAAACCATGAAATCTGTTACCCACAAATGGTAACCCTTTCCAGCAAATATTAATCTATATGCTACATCTTTCATTACAAAACTTTCAAAAAAGAAAAGAAATTAATCAAATTTTATTTTATTAAGTAACCCACTTAACTGAGATTGTTTGGTATTTTATAAATATTTAGCATATATTTAATATTGTAACAAACATACCGTCTGCTTTGAAGCTATTATGAATCAGCAAATGCAGGGAATCCGATACAAATACATCTATGTCACCTATTGTCCTCTTTAAAGTTAATGTCACATGATTGAACAGAATAAAATTCATCTTCAAATCTAGAGAGAAAAATTTTTGGTCACTAATTTTTATTTTGAGTGGGGAAGTTGGGGATGAATTGATATTTATATCATTTTAATTCCATGAAAACAGAAGGGCAATATATAATTTTTCTTACATGTAACTATTTAAAAGAATTATGTTCAGCATGTCATATAGTTCAGGATTAGAATAGCTCTATACCTGTTGTGTCTATGTAATTCTGAGGCAGGTAATAGTATCCGAATACACTGAGTTCAGACACGTCATTGTCAATAAGAATTTGATATGCATTGCTCTTCTGCATGAGGCATTCCAGTAAGATACCCATAGATCCCTCTATGTCCGAGCCCGTGATTTTTAGATCCACTATAAGACATGCATTTTGAATAGCAGTTATTTCTACTGCATTTTCTTTCAGACATTGATCTTCATTTAGTTCCCTGATTGATAACCTGCCAATTCTACTTGCAATTTCTGGAAATACGCTTCGATCTGTACTGTGCAAAGTTAGTCTCAAGTCTAAAGAAAACCACAGAAGTTAAATATTTTTCAATATATATAGGTCATATAAAACACTATCTGCAGAACTGTAGTTCTCTGGTTGAGAAAATTCGGACAGATAAACCAGAGGGCCGCAGATCCAAAAAAACCCTTCGATTTACGGCGACGCTATTATGTCGCACGTTTCGGGTAATTTTTTTTTTTTTATTATATGCCTTAACCCGCTTAAAGGATTATATTATTTAATTAACCATATTTTACTTGTATTTCTGACACTTTATTTACCTTTCAACGGTTACACACAGCCATATATAGCCTTGGAATATCAGCTTTGGCATTCCGACGTCGATATGGTGGGGGTCTTGCTAAAATAACGCGCCCTAAAGGTAAATAAAGTATCCGGAATTTATATAGAAGTAAAATATTTGTTAAATTAAAGATACCATACTTTAAGCGGGGGAACGCATATTAAACAAGAAATAATTCCCGAAGCGAGCGAGAAATAAGCATCGCCGTAAATCGAAGGTTTTTACAATGCTTGGATCTGTAGCTCTCTGGTTTATCTGTCCGAATTCTCTTAACCAGAGAGCTACAGTTCTGCAGCTAGTAAAACATTTGATATACATTTGATATACCTCATACCTTTTCCTTCAATATCAAATTCGGTTTTTGTCTGATTGTCAAGTGTTATAGCAATCTTGTTGTTTCCTCCCTGTTGCTTACATATGAAAGTTTTTACAGCATGCTGAGCTACATTTTCCGAAGAAATCTTATTTTTGGTACCATACTGGTTACAAACAATAGTTTCAGCCGAATTTTCCAAATTAGTATGTTCAATTTTGTTCTTTTCGCCAATTTGGTAATACTTCCTTGGCTCATCGGGTCCTGAAATCAAGCAAAAGTACTAAATTGACTAAATCAAATACATCTTCAAAGAGAGATGCTTCGTATTATTTAACGTGTACAATGTATATGTGACTATCTCAAATAAAGCAATGAACATCATTTTATTATGAAGATAAAAACATTTACGACAAAACTTTCCATGTTATTGGTTAACCCATATGAACCCCTGTGCAGTGACAATTAACTGTGCTTACACCAATGAAAACTCGTTTATGTATCACGTGTCTCAGTGCATATTATTTTATTCGTCGTGCGGCGGAAGATCAATACCTTGTTCCTCGCCTCTACAATAATTAATCACTAACATATACTTCTTTTATAGTATACAATCACCGACGGCATGTGAAGAAATACATTTAATGAAGGTGAAATTCTCGGTTGTGTTTGTTTGTTTGTTGTTTAACGTCCCTCTCGAGAATTTTTCACTCATATGGAGACGCCACCACTTGCCGGTGGAGGGCTACAAATTTTGACCTATACTCGGCACTCAGGGCCATTGAGCAGTGAGGGATCTTTTTCGTGCCAGCACTTACTGCGACACGGGAACTCAGTTTATGCGGTCTCATCCGAAGGACCGGTCTCCACGTCCTACGGTGGGATTTGAACCCGCGACGTAAGGATCAACTCCTTACTCCGCGACTCTAGAGCAGACGCTCTAACCACTGCGCCACGCGGGCAACTTCCCGGTTGTGAACATATCATATTCACAAGATTGCTATTTAAATAAATCTTTCATAGTGTTCCGTTGGGGACACTCGCACCTTCGCACTTTCGCTTTTGAGGCGCAGATGCCAAAGTGTAAAGTTGCGAAGGCGAGGGAGCGAAAGTGCGAAGATGCGACGGCGAAGCGCGAAGGTGCGAGGGCGAAAGTGCGAAGGCGAAGGAGCGATACTAGTATTGCTCTTTCACCTTCGTAACTTCGCATTCTCGCCTTAGCACGTTCGGTTTCGCCCTTTTTTGTGGACCTCTCTACAGTTTGAACTTAATTTAAACCATTGCTTACCATCCATTCTGGCGCCGTCACACTAATCTAGCGCATGCGTACCAATAACATCCGAGAGAAAAAAAAATACTAGCGCAAAAGAAGTGAAGGCGAAAGTGAAGGTGCCAGGGCAAAAGTGCGGTAAATTAATGAGCCTACACACAGTAACTCTAAAAACTCACTGAATTTAGTCGATTAAAATTAACTCATAACGATAAAGAGTTCCACAAAAGTAAAATGCTAAGGCGAAAGCGCGAAGTTGCGATGGTGAAAGTGCGATACTAGTATCGCTCCATCGCACCTTCGTTCCTTCGCCTTCGCATCTTCGCACTTTCGCCTTCGCAACTTCGCACTCTCCCATCTTCGCCCTTAAAGGTGCTTGGACACAGATTTGAAGTTAATATTTTCTCAAATTTTCTGTATAATTTCATGACTTATTTGTTGCTATAGCATTTCATACTAAAATATAATAAAAATCTTATTTCATCTCGTAGTTATTGAAACTTCAAATTTCTGAACGCGTTTGGTTGACACATCCTTGCACTTTCACAAATTTAAATTTTATTCTTAATACTTAAGAAAAGTGGCAATTTTGTTGTGTATTAATGAAAAATATTAAAACTATAATCCAGAAAATTCAGAGTAGAAATGTTCGAAAACAAAACCCACTCACAGTATTGTCAGTCCGTGCTCAGTGGTGTGTGCAGAGTTTAACAATTGAACACACCCGGTGAATCGTAAACATTAACAATAACAGAGCTCGTGCCCCGTTTCCAAAAACAGTTTACGTTTCACGGGTGTATTCAATTTGTTAAACTCTGTACACAACACTGAGCACAGGCTGACGATATCAGTGAGGGGGTTTGCTTTTGCACATTTCTACTCTTAATTTTCTGGATTATAGATGTAATTTTTCATTAATACACAAAAAATCGCTTCTTTTCTTAAATGTTAAGGATAAAGATAAAATTTGTGAAAGTGCAAGGATGTGTATATCAAACGCGTCTAGGAATTCGTAGTTCCAATAATTTCCAGATAAAATAAGTTTTTAATTATATTTTCGTGTGAAATGCTATTGCAATATATAAGTCGTGATATCATACAGAAAATTTGAGAAAATATTAACTTCAAATCTGTGTCTAAGCACCTTTAAGACGAGAGTGCGAAGGTGTGAATGGTCCCAATGGAACACCATATTAATCCGAGTCTAATCTACATTTGTTGATTTATTTGTTCATGTTTTCTGCCCGTCAGTATATGGAAAGGCAACGAAAACGGAATATATACATGTAAATCTCATTTGTAAATTGTAAAACATAATTTCACAATTTGTCAATTTTTCTATCTCAATTTTTTAATTAATTGCAAGTATCCAACATAACTTCTAATGTGTAAAATGTAAATGCAATTTATGCCAATGCTCACATGTAATTCGTCGACTTTCGATTTGTCAACTTGTGAAATGCAAGTTGTACATGAACGTTCAAGATTTTTAAATAATTACGCAACGTTGCATTATGCTAATGCCTGAGACGAAAGAGGGTGCTTTACGGGTGGCAAGATACTAAAGAATTGACTTTTGTAATACGCATGCATATTATGCATTCATATTGTCTCTTAAGCCGATAAAAAATAAGATGGCTGTATACAGAAAAAAGGGGTATTCCTGGATCTTAACATACACATTACAGAGATATACAGAGGGGAAAGAATCCGAAAGATTTTTCAGTTGTAATAAATTAATGTACATAAGGCTCGTATTATCATGCCCCCCGGCCACTTTTTTTCCGAACACTATGTAAAATACTGTTAATTTAGTATGAAAATGTTCACTGTAAGGCAGGTAGCCCTCTCACCCTTTTTGTTGTAGGGTTGTAGTAAGGTGAAACCCTGCCATGAATATGGACCGAAAAATTTTTCTTGCGAAAAAATTGATTATTTTTCCCATGTTCTTTTTTTCTGATCGCTGGACCCAAGACAGGAATTTTTTTCTCATCAGGGCTGCATGGCAGAAACTACCTGTATATGTACTGATGAAATGGTTCATAAACCCTGGGGTGTTTGGCTAGAATAAGCTATATACAATCTCATTGAGAGCTGCGAAAAAGGGAACCCACCTTCTTTAAAGTGTGTAAATCATAATCTGACGACACTTACGAAGTTTATTACTAATTTTTTTATCTATGAGCGCAAATATAGTCCAACTTTTTTATGAGTTTGAAGAAAAAAGATAGGAAAAAGCACTTAAAATCACTTCACACAATATTTAGTTTTACAATGGAAAAATTAAGGTTTACAGGTGTACAATTTAACAATTACAGAGTTGGAATTTTGTACCTTTAGCTTTCCATCTGATCAATATAATTTTTTGCATTTTCTTTTTTCATACATGAATATTACTTTTAAAAATGCATTTCTCTCAAAACTTGATTCACTTGTTGGGATTTAAACCTTTAAAGGACATGAGAATAGGATATGCAAAGCTATTTCTTGCGACTATTCAAATTCAATTTTTCACACCATGTTATCAAGTTCTTAAGATTTCTTGCATGAACAGGTTTCGTAAATATCACAAAAGTTTGATACTTCGTAGGACCTAAATATTTCCGAGAAGATACTTACATAAACCTGAAAGATAATTCGTCATTCCAGAATTATCCCGGACTACATGCATGTACCCTTAAAATGTACCTCATTTAACCATTGATTTATCTCTTTAATCGATGGTGTTTTAAACATGTTACGCTATTGTATTTCTTTAGAAGATTTAAATATGTGAAATAGCAATACAATTCATACATATTGGAATTACCATATTTTCCCTCTTCCGCTTCTTTTTTCTTCTCAATATTCTTAAAGAATTTCTTTCCAAAATTCGGGAAAACTTTAGCCATACAGTCTGCGACTTTTATTAATGTGTTCCAAATAGATTCTTTGTCACTGTCGGATATTTCCTCTTCTTCGTTATTTGATAAATTTTGGACCCATATTTGCCACATTTTTTCAATATTGTCTCCAATGCTCTGATGTTCTAACGAACTTGCATCGTCCGATAGGGTGTCAAGAGAAAGAGAAGAAAAAAATTTGTCGCACACTCCGGTCCTCAATATGTTGCAAAGTAATTCGAATTTAAATTTTTTTGAAATGACTGTTTCATTTTTAATTAATAAATGTTGCTTCCGTGAAATAATACCGTTTGGGTTTTCTGATTGAAACATCTCACGTGGAAGTTCTTTCAAAAGGTCTGCACAAGTCGGAAAGTAACTTTCTAACAACTTTCGTAAAAAATGTGTGCAATCGTCATCAAAGCACGTACGTAATTGAAAATAATTTGATCTGTCATTGTCTTCTTCGGATTCTGAACTCATATTTTTCTGCAAAAACGCTCCTTTGGTTGAGATAATGTTGATTTCTAATAATGTTAGCCCATAGTTAAGAAGTACATGTAGTTTCTTTTTTGTTCCACATGTATACAGTTCAGCACAGAATCTTCTATGGGGAAGATCTGTCCCAATCCATATTGGGACAGATTGGCTCTAGATCTAATCTCCCTTGCGAAAATGATAAAATTTCACTTGTAACAGTTCCCATGACAGAAAAAGATTGCACAGGATTATATTTGCAGAAAATTTACATGCAGTGGTAGTTTAAATAAAGAATATATACTTATGATAGATTAATAACTTACCTCGACCAACTAAGAAATCATAACACATGTACATGTATACCATAGGCGCCGGCGTCTGAAGTTAAGAATTTTAAAAAGAAGATCCATCCCGAAGTAAGATTAATCATTCACTTCCTCTATAACACGTATAAATGACGAATCTTGGAATTCATAAATAAATGGTGATTTGGTTGCTGAATTTATCGATATCTTAGTCCTACCTTTCAAGACAGAAAAAAAATCACGTAAGTTAATAAACTTTTGAAAAAGCATTGTATGCTGACAAGGAAAAGAACTTTATATATAAGATATCGACAAAGAAATTTAATAAACGTACGCTTGTCTACATAAAATCTTTCTTTTTTCAGATCAGGTTCAGTTTACCGTGATACACACGCACGTCTGAGGTTAAGAATTTTAAAAAGAAGATCCATCCCGAAGTAAGATTAATCATTCACTTCCTCTATAACACGTATAAATGACGAATCTTGGAATTCATAAATAAATGGTGATTTGGTTGCTGAATTTATCGATATCTTAGTCCTACCTTTCAAGACAGAAAAAAAATCACGTAAGTTAATAAACTTTTGAAAAAGCATTGTATGCTGACAAGGAAAAGAACTTTATATATAAGATATCGACAAAGAAATTTAATAAACGTACGCTTGTCTACATAAAATCTTTCTTTTTTCAGATCAGGTTCAGTTTACCGTGATACACACGCACGCCAAAGTCATTTAAACATATGTGCAAACATATTCAATTGTATAATTTTTGAATACATTGTCAGAAAAATACAACTCATGTAATTGTTGAATTTTTAAACTGGCTTGATTCATTTATAGATTAAAACTTATCAAGATTACCGTGTTCTTATCTAGAAGAATCAAATAAAATGAATAGATTATTGAAGTATTGATTAAAAGAAGTTATGCTTTTGATTTAAAAATAGATATTGTTTTTGAACAAGTGCCATTTTTTCTATGTTACTCAAGTTTCAATGTTAAATAATAACCTACCTTTCTTTAAAAGTAGGAAACATATACACTGTGTGTTAAAAGCAAAACTCGTTCAGAAATCCAACAAATTAAGAATGTTCTGTCAAATAATGGGCGATCGACGTAACTAGGAAAAAAAATCGATATCGATACATAAACAGAATATGCGCATGTGCAAATACACTGTACCTCAATAGAATCGGAAAAATTACGATTAAAAAGTTTTTTCCCATATTTTGCACATTTTTTTTTCAACACAACGAAGTTTGATATTAAATATCCCTTTCTCAGAAGAGATGTCTTCTTAATTTGTAAGTGTTTTCTAGTGACAACTAAAAATAATGTAAGTGAAAAAAATAATACTCATATTTAAGTTGAAAACTTTTTAGGAGGTGTAAATTTTATTCGCCAGTTGAAGTAAAGATACCTTGTACTGACGATCCATTTCTTACTTGATTACTTTTTTTCAAAAAAATGTGCAAATTCAGATAGTTCACTTTCATAGGAACAAGCTTTCATGATCAAGAGAAGAACCGATCTTGAACAATATTACTTAAGAAATGAACAACGTTTTTCGGTGAACATGGTAATACAGTGAATGAACGTCAGAGGAAATCCTGCCCTAGATAAGTGCACGGCTGCTTGTCTTCATTAGGAAGAAAACTGATGACCATTAAATCAACAGACCTGATTAATCCACCTTATTTGCAATAAAACACATACAATATACATGATATTGGTTTCTAAACCCCCATTATCTTATTCTGCGGTAAAAAAAAAAAAAAAAAAAAAAAAAAAAAAAAAAAAAAAAAAAAAAAAAAAATTCGGATTTTTTTAAAATGCCATCTCTTGGAAAGCAAACGATAGAATGTTGTGTTTTTATGTATAATGTACAATATATAACTATTCATATATTATAAATTGAGCAAAAAGTTTATTGTAGTATTTGTTAAACTTGCTTTGAAGTGCAAAAAGTACACTTTGCCATATATATGTAATCCTGTAGTAAATGTACATGTATTTTGAGACGGTCTCTAAAAATAACCAGACGATATATTTTCCCTAAACTTCGCATGTACACCAAAGTCAAAGAAAGTTGCACATGATATAAATTTAAGGAGAATGGATCCTGATATCAAACGTCTTAAGAATTCTTTGTCAAGTATATTTTTAGTATCTACACACAAAGCGTAATTTAAAACAAAACAAAAAATGGGTTTCAATATGCTTCTTTTGGCGCTACGGTACATTTATTATGACCTTTATGCACTAAAATTGTGCCTTAAACATAAATCACTTCTTCGAAATTTTTCCTACAATATTTTTTTATCCAAAAAAAAAAAAAAAAAAATCACGGGACCAGATATACTCTTATTCTATCTTAAAAAGACAAAGAACTTACTTCGCATAATCAATTATTTTACCTTTCTGTACTAAAAAATGTTATTTTTCTGGCATTGAAATTTACCTGCCGAATTTATGCAGAATGATCAAAATGTTCTTATATTTTTAGAAAAAGAAAATCAAAAGTGGGGGTCTATGAATCCAAATGTAAATTTTTAGATACATGTATGGCTAAAAAAATGTTAATTTTAAGTTTTAAAAAATGAGCTCTATTTTTCCTTGACTTTCAGAACATAAATGTATTTGCTATATTTCTCACAATGAGATGAAAGAATTCATAAAAGTTTATTTAATAAATATTTCATATTTCAGGACCAGCATAAAACATTTCACTGCACAAAATAACTTTGTGTATAGCCTGCATGGGAAAATAGGAATCCAAACTTAACAGTACTGTAAATACTGTAAAAGAGAAAAATTGATCATTTCCTTCTAAATAACATTCATCCACAAAATATAGTTCCTCACTTAATTTTTTTTTTGTATGGAATTTTATCTTAGGTTTTTAATTGAATGTATTTTAATTTGCATTGTAGAATCCAAACTTAATGTAAGAACTTAAATCGAACCTCTTTAAAGAATTTTGCTATTGTATCGCAGATTTCACACAATAAATCCCCAGTCGGCTTCCTTCAAACACCCGCACATGAAGATTTATCATTCTATGTAACTATATAAGTAAAATGTACAGATAAATTAAAGATATAGCAGATCTGCTTAATTTGGAGAAAGTTTTGTTATACAATGAAATAAATTGATCGAATTTAATTTTTAAAATTTGAATATACCTCGATCAGTAATTTTAAGTTTTGTTTTTTTTTTAATTTCTTTTTTTTTTTTTTTATTCCCGAGGATTTCATTAAAAACTACAATTTATTCCTTTTGCTCAATCTGTCGTGTGTATATATATATATATATATATATATATATATATATATATATATATATATATATATATATATATATATATATATATATATATATCTTTTTTAACGAGTTTCAATAGTGTAGAAGCTAGATCTGTGAGGGTGTAAAAAGTGATCTGCATTTATAGTGATAAGAATGCCAGATAAGTGCAGGTTCACAGAGAGAGAGAAAACAGAGATATGCCTGCAACTTTCTGCAGTTAAATGAAAAGGATTGAAATGTGTATTTTCCCTGTCAGTCTTAAATATGTTGATTCTTGAATGCTCTTAAGGTACTCCGATCCTCACGTTCTGAAAATCAGCATATAAATAATTGAAAATGCTCACAAAAATGTCCTTGAATTCACAAAGAATGTGTTCTACCCATTGTATTTCTTCAAAGTTCATCATTATAGTTCAAGGGGTTTTATCACGTATCTAAATTTCTTAAAAATGAAACACTATTATATTCTTGGAACATATAATTATCTTTTAATTATGAAATAGTTTTGAAAACAGTCATAACAAGCATTCTGAGAGTATTGCATTAGCAATACTAGTCCCCTACCGGCAAGTGTAATCTGGTTCCGTTCCCGTTAAGAATTGAAAATGCCATAATTCCGTCAAAAATTAATGAAGCGGGGCGAAATGCAAACTTGATCTATAACTAATCAAGGTAAAGCCACATACCCAAAATCAGCTCAATATCTACAAGCGTTTAGAAGAAAATTGCGGAAAACCCGTAAAAATTGAAAAGGCCGTAATTCCATCAAAAATCAATGAAGCGGAACGAAATGCAAACTTGATCTGTAACTTATCAAGATACACTCACATACCAAAAATCAGCTCAATATCTGCAAGCGTTTAGGAAAAAAGTGCAGAAAACCAAGTGGGACAGACAGACAGACAGACAGACGGACAGACGGACGGACAGACTCAGAGGAAACTTATAGTCCCCTCCGGTTTCACCGGTAGGGGACTAATTAGCCGATAAAACGCGCGTAATATTGAGTTCTCGAAGTAAAATTTCCACTAATTAGATAGGGGTCACGTGGTACTGAAACGTCATAGGTGTCAATGGTCAATTAGAACTCGTATGTGTCAAATAAATTTTGACGTTAAATAAATAGACAACACAATAAGGTCGGTGAACATTTTGACATCGACGATATTCTTTTGGTTATGGACGGTCAATATGTTTTATGTATGAACGTCTAGTAGAGAGAAATAACCTAGTAGAAAATATGCCGACAATATGGGAGGACATCGAAGACGAAGCCGTTGACAACTTGGGACTTCTACTGAATAGAACGAATTAGTATTAGTATGACTTTGTAAATATTTTAGGAATGACTCTAATTCTTGGCCAAATGATTCGAGTATAATCTGGTTTGGGTCAGTTTACGCTTTATAAACCGCGAAGCGGATTATAAAACAGCGGATTATAAAAACTTATCCATAGGCCTAGCAGTCTTGTTGTTTGTTTACATGTGGTAAGATCGAATTATTGTTTGAAGTTAAAAGTACATTTATTAAATCTGGAATTTTCCATGAATCCTGAGGACTAGAAATGAGAGGATTTTATGGACACAGATGATTCAGCTGGTTGTCATGGGGGTGTGTCTCCATACCAAACCAGGTTCTACAGAAATAATTTCAGTTCCTTTTTGGATATTAACCAATCAGAGGATAGAATACAAACGAAATTAAATTATTTATATATGAGAATTTTAAATTCAATTTCTTAATCATTTTAATAAATTATATATAGATAAGCCCTTTATATCTTCTATCTGTTCCAGTGAATATCATGTACTAGAAATCATGACATTTCTGAACAGTGTTCAATGGCGCCGTACGCGCCATTACGAAGTTCACAACATTCCTACTAGAATCTGTGCCACATTAAAAATGCGTATTGGGTATTATTTCCGTTTTAAAAAGGTATCACGTCCTTGAAATATTTTATAGTACAGAAAAAAATCGCAATTGGGCATAAACGTTTCTCGGTTTGTTCTGAATGGAGACAAAGCCCTTGCGTTTGCAGAAAAAAGGGGTCACCTTCCACCTCTAGACCAAGTCCAGGAAATGTTAAAAAATTGTTCATAAAATCTTTCTTGTGTACATTGCAAGGTTTTACTTTCATCAACACTAGAAACATTTGAGTAAAAATTATTTAATGCTTCTGCCTTTTCTAATGAATGAAGTAAAATTTGACCATTTGATTTTAAGGGAGGCATAGGTTTATGTTTATTTGAAAGTTTTACAATTGATTTTGTAATTCGCCACCATTTACCTGGTAGAATATCTTTATTAAGTATTTGTTTATACTTTTCTTTGGCATTTCTAACCATAGAAATTACCTCATTTCCCAAATCTCTGAAACGACGCCATAGGTTTGGGCAATCTTTATGTTTTGCTTTTTTTATGTATACGATTTCTTTGCCTTATTCTTAGACGTATACTATTATTCATGAATGGTTTATCTCGTGGCCTAATTGTGACTACCTTTTTAGGTATATTTTTATCCAAGATAGCATCAAACGTATGTAAGAAATTATCATATATTTCATTTATGTTTGAGGAATTAAAGACTGTGGAGTTCCAATTGACTTTGTTAAGATCATTTTCAATATTTCTAAAATTAACATCATCATAGTTTCTGATGGTGCGTTTATAAGCATGTTGTTTGAAAGTTTTAAATTTTATATCAAAACTAACAGGTGAATGTGTACTACAGGATGGAGATGCTACATACACATTATCTACAATACTTAGATTATTGGTGAGAACTAAATCTATACAAGTATCAGGAGTAGTTGTAAAATTTGTTGGTTCATTAATCAGGTTTAATAAATTTTTTTGTACCATACATTGTTTAAAAATATTGTTTCCACTGCTCAACATATCAATGTAAAAATCACCCATAAGAAATACTAGCATGGACTCATTTGATACTATATCTAGTGAATCAGAAAAACGCTCAAAGTAGACAGTTGAATTAGGTGGTCGATATATTAAACCAAGTAAAATTTTCTTATTATCTTGCATATGTATTTCACACCATAGAAGCTCAATGTCAGTAATATTGAGATCATCTTTTATGATAAAATGCAGGTCTAGGGAAATATAAAACAGTATTCCACCCCCTATTACGATCCTTTCTAATGGGAGGATGAAAACCATGAAACATGATTTCATCATTGGATATATTATTATCAAGGTGAGTTTCAGTAATACCAATAATATCATATTTAGACAAGTCATTGTAGAGTATATGAGTATTTACATGTATCTTTAAAATAATTCTAAAAAAATCCTTGATGTAACTAATGTCAGGAGTGACATACCTTAATCAAAGCATATACAACAAAATTGGAGGAAAGGTAGTCAACAATGCAATATTAAGAATTTTTATTTTAATTTCCGAAATTCTGAGATTTTAAATATCATATACCGATTTTCAATTGCAATTTTTACGTATTGCGCCACCTTCTGATAATAGAGAATGAAAAATTGTATTTAAATAGGGTTCATTTGTATAGTTACTTAATATATATCCATAAATTTATTAGTTATTGTTCGTTTTATCTGTGCAAAATTTCATAAATTTATGACACTGGGTTCCTAAAAACTATGCTTGTCTATGGAATTTTGAGACAACCCTCGTATTTACTACTCCAACCAAAAAAGGAGGAGGTACAAAGATACTCTGCTACCACCTCATACATCAAAAATGGTGTTGTGGGCACCTGCCCTTTGACTACGCCTATGATCTTACTGCTGATGTCTCGCCCATTCCCTGTTTTCTTCAAATCATTTCTGAATCTCGAATACAACAGTATATATAACCCATTTAATTGTATATAATATAGGGTTATTGAACTTACATTGGTGAATATTAGCACGAGATGGCTGTACAAATGCACGAGCTTGCGAGTGCATTTGTACAGCCAACAAGACTATGTATTAGCTATATAATAAAAGCAAATATTTCACAGTGTAAACATCATCATCTTCATTGTCCTTTACACCCTGTGGTGTGTAGGACAGCAACATACTTCCTCCACGCTTGTTTGTCCTGGGCCAGCCTCATCAATGTTCCCCAGGTCTGATGCATGGTTTCGTCTCGCTTTCAACCGTATTTCGCCATGATGTTCTTGGCCTCCCTCTCTTTCTTTTTGCCCCCTGGTGTCCATTACAGTGTTGTTCTTGTCGACTGGGGGGGGGGGGGATGCCCTATCTATCTCCATCGGCGTTTGGTAATGATGGTACCCATGTCCTCTTGTTTGCATCTGCTCAACAGCTCTTCATAAGTAAACTTCTCGGGTCAGAATATCCTAAGTATAGCATGTGGTGTGGAAGGATCATAATTTGCTAAGATCTGTCTCTGTTATTCTCCAGCATTCCGATCCATATAGAAGAGTTATTCATTTCTGTCAAATATTTCCCTGGCCTTGCCCAGTCTCCTTTGTGCCGCCCTCTGGTTTAATTATGCTACCCAAGTAAATAAAGTTGTCTGTCTGGCGTAGTTCTTCACCATTGACCTTAACAGGAGCAATTCCACATGAAGTGTCATTGTCTCCGTCTTTTTCGTATTGATACGTAGCCCCATCTGTTGTCCGTAGGTTTGCAGCCTGTTGGTCTTCTCTTGGATATGCTGGTGTGTGTAAGAGACATTAGCGCAAGATCCCAAAGAAAGGAGCCCTGTGCGATTGCAATTACTGGAGGGAATCACTTACTGATTATTTTGGCCAGGATCTTACTTGACACGGTTTCGAATCCCACTTGGGACGTGGACACCGGTCCTTCGGATGAGACCGTATAAACCGAGGTCCCGTGTCGCAGTAGGTGCTGGCACGAAAAAGATCCCTCACTGCTCAATGGCCCTGAGTGCCGAGTATAGGTCAAAATTTGCAGCTCTCCACCGGCAAGTGGTGGCGTCTCCATTTGAGTGAAAAATTCTCGAGAGGGACGTTAATCAATAAACAAACAAAATTACTTGGTAGAGTGATTCCCTCAAGTTATTGCAATTGCCCAGGGCTCATTTCCTTTGGATCTTGACAATCACCCCCTTACACGAGTCGTCAGGAGCCTTCTCTCCATCCTACACAGCTGTGAACAGTGGTTGGAGGATGGTGGTAACTATTCCAGGGTCCGCCTTAAATAGCTCTGCATCCAGATTGTCACACCCTGGTGACTTCCCGTTCTTAAGGGTCTTTATTGCATCCATTATCTCATCCTTAGTTGGTGGGTCAGTGTCAATGTCCTTGTCACGGCGTGCAAGCTTCTTGACTCTCTTGTTGGCCTTACTATACAGCTCCTCTTGCCTCTCGCGCAGTCATGGGGACTTGATCTGCAGCATCTTTTCTTGATTTCCTTTCTTTCCTCAATAGCAATCAGAGTCTCCTGCTGGATCCAGTCTTTGTTGGTGTTTCTCTTGCGAAGGCCTAGTTTCTTTTTGCTGCTTTCAGTGTACGATTCGGCGACTTGCTTCCATGTGCTGTCCACACTGGTCTCCTCACCTTCATTCGATATGTGTTGCAAGATTTGGAATTTGTTTCTTAAATCGCTGATGAAGGCAGCTTTCACGGTGTTATCCCTCAGTCTCTGAATGTCAAATCGCGCTTGTGTGTTAGGTCTTTCCTCAGCTTTTTTCAGTGTGATCTTGATGAGAGCTGTCACCAGGTGATCGTCGTTGCATACGTTTACACTCCGCTTAACCCTGACATCTAATAAAGTGTGTCTCCATATGCCATTGATCATCAAATGGTCAATCTGGTTTTTCTCCCTTAAGTATAGCGAGTTCCAGGTCAGCCTGTGGATATCACGATGTGTGCAGAGGGTTCCTCCTATCACTAGGTTATTCATAGCAAAGACCACCAGTCTTTCGCCATTATCGTTCCTGGTCCCAACCCCGTGCTTTCCCTTATTCTTTCACAGTCAGCCTTGTCCTTTCCGACCTTGGCATTGAGGTCCCCCATGATGACAAGGAGGTCGTGCCGTGTGGTCTTCTCTTCCTTTGTCTGTAGCTGACTGCAGAATGTGCCCTTGTCGTCATCGCTACTGTCATTGGTTGGTGCGTAGCATTGTATTAATGTGGTATTGATATGTTTGCCCTTCAATCTTGCGCTCACAATCTATTTATTTCTGGGCTTCCATTCCAGCAGGCACCACTCAATACCTTTCCTGAGTATGATGGTTATTCACTCATGATGTAGGTTGTCATCTCTCAAAGAGTAAAGGACAGTGTCTCCGGTGGTTGTTTTCATCTTTCCTGATCCAGTCCATCTGCTCTCACTCACTCCTAGGACAAGGAGGTTAAATTGTCCTATCTTAGCTTATCTCTTACCTGTGTCAGCTTGGTTGTCTCATACATTGTCCTATATGTAGTCTGACCTTGGTTTTAGGTCCTCCCTCATTCTGCTGGTATGTCCTTACGGCTTTGATTGCCAGCATTCATACGAATCTCATTGTACTCGGAAGGTCTTTCACACGCTGAAGTAAAGGTTATTTTATTGCTGTTTCCGTAACTTTCTCTTTTTACAGGACAGGGTTGATAGCCCTGCGCCTAACCCTCAACCTGGAGGACCAGGGTAATTTGTTTATGGTTTCCTTCCACTAGATCTAGGACTTTACCTGGCTGACAAGTCTAGATCTCCCCGTGATTTTTAAGTAAGAGTTTATCTTATCTTCTCCGAGGTAGCTGCCTTACCGTTCTAACGTCCCCACCTGGACGGCCATTTTTTCCGTGGCACGGACAGAGTTGCCAGAAGGGTGGTTACTCCAACAGCCTTAGGACATTCACATCGAATTTCTCCCAAAAGTATCTACAAGGCAGTAGTTCATGGCAATTTACCCATTGCTGGGAACTAGGATTGCAGGCACCAGGGCGTATCCACTCACCGGTGGGCCACGCGTACATTTAGGGGCTAGTCTCCTCCAAGACCTTGTAGTTCTGCTTGAGGCTGTAAGGTACCCAATTCCCATCTGCTACCTCGAGGAGGATCCCATATCTGGGCCACATAGGTCTAACTGTGGTGAGGCAATACTTGGTAGATAAGACTTACAAATAAAATTTTGCTTATTTTACTCAGCAAACTGCTAGCCAGGGATGGAGCTGAAAGCGAGGGTGACAAGCACAAACACATACAGACACACACACTGTACGCATCACACAACCATTTAGCATACAGTTTAAATATGGTATAGTTTTTTTTCTCTGCATCCCGACTCGCGATCGCGAGTGATGTGACGATTTTATTAGAGATCCCGCGTCTGCGAAGTTAATTCCATAACCATATGTTCTCACTTTCCCCCTAGAATTATTAACATATTTATATCGATATATCTACTCGATCTTGCTCCAATCAATATTATCTTAAGTCGCTATAACTTATTGCAATAAAACCAATCAAATAAAAGAAGGTGCTTAAAATTATGTAAAAACACCTAGAAACGATACAAATAAGCAGATATAACATGTTGATTAGACACTAAAAACTAAGACAATGTACAATTTATAACACAAGTGTAGATACCTATACGCTTCCATACGTAGTATCTACCATCATATATGCAAGATCCGACATATTTATGTTGACAAATGAGTTAATTTAATCAACAGGCAACATTGTCATGTTGATAACAACCTATTTTTGTCAACATGCGACTTATTTTTGTGAACAAGCAGCAAATTTATGTTGTCATCCGACTTATTCATATAACTGTGAGTTAAATTTCTTGAAATCAGACTTATATAAGTTGACATGCAACATTATACGCTATGCGACTTATTTTTGTGAGACATGAAATAAATTTGTTGACATGCGACAAAAATAAGTTGTATGTCTACATGATTTTCTCCATGTTGACAATTAGTCGCATGTCCACGTAACAAACTGTTTCATGATAACTGCGGTACAGCACTTTTGCAGGGCAAATTGATTTCGTTTGCTAAAATTTGACGTAATAACAATTGTTTTATAATCTGCAACAGAACAGTACACAGTTATAGTGAAAGGGCTAATTGTACTGCATAGATAAGTCACATGTTATCTTAATGATGTTGCAGGTAGACATAATTCTCACACGTTTACCTAATTTGTACATAATTTATGTTGCATATTGGGGGCACAAAGATGCCACCATAGTCTAAGGAATAAAATACACAAAATTTTGTTTGATCAAATATAATAAGCATTTTATGTTTATCATCATGAAATATTCGTAAAGCAGGCCCGTAGGAAGCAATTTCAGTTAAGGGGGGGGGGGGGGCACAGCCATACATTTTCAGTTGAGGGGGCACTATCGACTACCAAAAATTCCTTGACAAGCAAAAAAAAAAAAAAAAGGTCATCAGACGTTTTTATTGAGGGGACACAAACATATGGTAGCTATGTTTTCTATAGTAATCTATATATCGGCAAAATTATTGGGGCGGGGGGGACGGCCCCCCTGCCCCCCCCCCCCCCGGCCCGGTTCCTACGGCCATGTAAAGCAAATGTTACCAGTCAGTCTAAATACATACTGTTAGAAGAGATGAATAAGCCAGTTAAAGCATTAAAATGAAAAACCAGGGAGGAGTACTCCGCTTTTCTTTAACGATAAAAATCATAGAAATTCTATAACAGAAAGGTTCAAATGCACATTTGTTTTTAAAATACACATTGGGAACCCATTACTTCCTCGTTGTTCAACAATACATCTTGCTGTGTTCTATGTATCCAAAAATGAAAAAGGAATGAGAAAACCCCACTCAGATCAAGTTTTCGGATCTGAATCTAACTGGATAATCGAAAATGGGGTGTGTGTATCATATGGAATAAAAAAAAATACATGTTTTTTTCCTTTACTCCAATGTTGCAGACATATTAATTTAAGCGAAGATATGGTGTGAGTGAATTTTAATGCCACTGAGTAATCAGAACAATGGACAGGGGAATTGTCATCCCTACATGACATAACTTACCATTGAAGGTAGGTCGGAAACACTTTATTTTTCATGAAAAGATAAATATGAATTAACTTTGTTTTTGTACTCTTTTGCACATATCACTGCATTCAAGCATTTGACACCAGGGAAGTCCTGGCTATTCAACAAAGAATTTTAAAGGCAACGCACTAGCATATTGGCAATATTCCAGGTAATGCACCCTCATATTAAATAACGAGATATGTCCAATGTTCAACATTCTTAAGAAGAAGTTGATCACTACATATTAGATTATATAGATGCCCCACCGGCATAGGAACCCTTTTTCTTCAAAATATATATTGGGTATGTAGATCACATTAAAATATATTACCGCCATTTACCTCTATATAAATGTTATTTATATTATGGTTTTTAATGTTTATATAAGGAAATACAAGTTGATAATTTAAAAGAGACAATGGAACTCAGAGAGACAAACTGTTGTTTGTTAAATTGATACAAGTTTAAGTACATACGGATCTTTGCTTTTCAAATTGTCTTCTTTGGCATAGATAAATATATTGTCAATAATGGAGAATTTGGTGAAGGGGGGGAGGTTAGAAAGGGGTTACAGTAACAATGAGATAAATGTAGAAGAAAAGTGAATAAAAGGAAGGAAAAGAAGAAAAAAGGTAGGGAGGAAGAGAGGAAAGGCTGTGAGGGGGAATTAGGGGTTAAAGGAGGCTAGGAAAATGGGAGCCAACCCTAAAAAAAAATTACAGGTACCATTTATAATTAAGATTATGTATGGTTTTCTTCGTGTTTCTTTTCAAGAGTGTATGTATTGTTATAAATTATTGTCTATATTTTCTCTTATGGTAATTGACTTATTTACTTTTTAGCTTTCGTTTAGAGACCATTGGAATCTAATGTATGACAAGTCTGTTTTGTGTTCATCAATGATCTTGAGATATGTGTGGGTGTGTGTGAGGGTGTATATGTGTGTGTAACAGCTATTTCGACTTGTAAAAGAGACGACCATCACAGAATAGTATTTTCCAGATTCAGATTTTTCAAGACTAGGGTTTTCTACCTCAAAAAAAGATCACTGTTCTTTTAATTAAAATTACTCTTCTTTCATTTTACTTAATCTTTTATGTGTGTACAAGTTTCTCTCCCCTGTTTCAGGTCGATTGAATGTAGGGATCACTCATTGTTCAAATACAATGGAAAAAAATTAGGAATATATTTCCTCACACGATCTGATAAGGACTTAAAATACAGAAAACATGAGTACTAGTACTGATGAGTCTGACGGAGATGGAGATAACTATACTACACTAAGAGAGTGCTTTGAAAAACCTTGCACCAAACTTTTACGCAACATTTTGAGACTGAAGTTCAGTCGATTTGAGGAACTCAAAGAGGTGATTCCTTTGGAAAATTTATCCGATGGATTAAAATCTGCTTTAGAAAGGCTGAACCGAATAAAACAATTAAATTTCCCGATTCTTTGTGAAATATTTCGTTTAGGGGTCTGTGAACGATTTTTTGGTCCCCCAGCCATTGGTTGGTATTCGACAGAAATAATTCCAGAGGAGTTTAATGGAGTATCAGACGATATCCAAAGAATATGGAAGATATGGAAGGAGAATATAGAAAACAATGTGAATTTTACAGTTTCAGATAACGACAGCAACAAAGCATTTACTATATTGAAGGATATAGGGGAAAGGATGCGTCATCATCAGGATTTTAAAGAATTTGGTCAGGGTTTCTACAAAGAAATTTGTTTGGCAAGAAAAGGCAGCATAGGTAATTACATTTTATAGTCTTTTACATAAACAGTACATGGCCGTAGGAACCGGGGGCACGGGGGGATATATAGAATATTATAGAAAATATAGCTACTATATGTTTGTGCCCCCTCAATAATAACGTTTTTTTTTTTTTAATTATTTATTAATCATAATGCAAATCCATTTACAATCTCTAACTATCCCGGGTCAAGATAGTTAGCATAACAAGAATAACAGAAAAACATATATCAATAATAGCATTTCTACAAATGACACTTTCTTATTTTCAAACATAGGAGTTTTCGACAACTTCAGTAATAATTCCATGTTGTTTTTTATATCAATTTTTACATAGGAAAGTAACATATTATTTGTTTCAGTTTTGTTCTGACATCTACAAAACATTTTAAATGTATATATCTTATAAGCGAGGAAAGACACAAAAGTATTTAAAAATTGTATCTTGGAATTCCGTTCAGAATAAAACCCTAAGATTACATGTTTCCACTGTACATCAAAATGTAACACTGAGCTCAGATTTTTCCATAATATTTGAACATGTTCACAATCAAAAAGTAAATGTCTAATATAATTTCATCACACATATTACAAAAAGCAGATGATCTTTATTTGCATTTAAAAAGAAAACTGTTACAACACAATGTATTGTGACATGACCCGGCGAGTTTTCCTTTGAAGTCAGCCGTACAATAACTGCGATACAGAACACTTTTAGTGGGCGTTTCTTATGCAAATGAGCAGAAACTGTACTGTATCTGCAAAATATCAACGATTCAGTAAGGTTTATTTTTAGCGATGACGGAAAACTGAATCCGTATCTTAAATCATATAGATCTAAGAATCCTTCAAATCACATGTTAGCGCTGTTAGTATTTATTCAAAATTTGAGATGAAATAAGAATAGAATTTTACAACGTAAAGTTACCAGTGGCGGATTCAAGAATTTTAGAAAGGAGGGAGTGGGGGCAGTACACAAATGGTTTTCTTCGAGAAAAAAAAATGTCAAAACTGGAAGGTCGGGGGTTTCGTGGGGGGGGGGGGGGGGGGGTAGGTTCATAATCAGGCCTGACACTATATGTGCGTGATCGTTTCGTTTTGATAAATTGAAAGTGTATACAAGTTAGCAAACATAATTTACGAAAGCCAAAAAGAAAAAAAAAACTCGAAAGGGGAGTATACCAACGCGCGCAAGTGAGTGCTGGATCTGCCTTTGGTTCCTCTACGTTTTTGTTTCAAAAATGAAGGTAATATGCCCACTTTCTTACATCTGTTTATTTCAATTTGGAGCCAAGAATTTTGTATACACATGTTTGAAGACCGGTCGATGACATTGTCGGACATTTCTCTCATAATACAGCCTCCCCTAAACATTTTTGCTTCAAATACATTCCCATATACGATTCTTATGTGTCAGAATGTTTTGCACTAAATTCGTAGCTTAGATTTTTAAAAAAGTCAGCAAGAGCTAAATAGAAAGGAAAAACTACGCAAACAAACATAAATTAAATTTTGGGAAAACACATTATATAATGCATCTCATAATTATAATTATTTATAAATTGATAGATACCTGCACGTCCACCTCACTCGGCATTTCAGTTGCGATTGCTAAAAATGGGGTACTAAATCAACTTTCTGCAAAATCATCTGATTGGTTGAGAGATATATACCCAAATACACATGTAAATTAGCAAGGTCAAAAGAAAGGTCATGTCACAAGTCATTTAGAATACTCGTTTCCTACTGTATCGGAGATACAGGGCGGGGCCCGGCTCGAGCTATCGCTCTCGCCTTAAGCCCCGCCCTGTATCTCCGATACAGTAGGAAACTCGTACTCTAAATATAACTTATTTAACAGTTTGTAATTAAATTCACATATTCTTTTGTCATAAAGATCTTTTACTTTGTTTCTATATATATACTTCCAGCTCTCTTTTGCAACAGAAAATATTTTTTAAACAGTAATTGATGACTTGGAGCTTTAAATTTCTTAAAAAGTACGTTATCGTAGAAAAAATTACATTTTTTATCTTCAATACAATGCATAACGTCTTAATACCCTTGTTTTGTTTTGTTTTGTTTTTTATCAAGGAATTTTGGTAGTTGATAGTGCCCCCCAACTGAAAATGTATGGTTGTGCCCCCTCAAAGTGAAATTGCTTCCTACGGGCCTGCAGTACACGTGTGTACATCTTAATATGCGCAAAAGTCAATGACACTCCCACCATCCCCTGTGCTGTTGAGTGACCAAAAATTTTCCGGAGTAACATCCGGAAAGTGATAACACTGGGACAACATTCCACACAAAGTTCCAAACTGAGTTTACTTGAAACCGAAAAACACATTATACTTGTATTGAAAATACTTGAATTTGTTTGGTTTTTGTGAAAATCTCAGAATACAATAGTAATTCAGAAATCCTTTAAGAGAATCAAAGCGTTAACGAGGAATCACTCATCATTTCAAAATGCTCCCTAAAAGAATATCTGTTAATCAAAATTCGTCTCAAATTAAACTTAATGTTTTCTGTAACAATTAAAAGCAATGAAGGCGTCAATATAAATAACTTCGCTCGTGAAACCCAAATCTGATAAAGAAAATATCGGTTTGCAATTAATAAATAACTTCAGTAATATTTAACATCAAATACTTTTTTATCCAATACGAATTCTTACATCGTTTTTTGTTACAAAACATATACATATGATATTTAAAGCATGTAAATTCTGCTCAAATGTTTTGTGTAAAATGATATGGTGATAAACCCCTTAGAGGTCAATACCAGGAAATAGTCACCAAATACAATGTACGAAGAAACAGTATATTTTTTTAAAACTTATAATGGCATTAATAAAAACATTTCACCTTATGGGGTCAATACGGTAAAATGTCGTTCTTTAACGTGACTCATTCAGTGATCTGACCTCGGCCTTTGGTTCTCGATCAGGTAAACCACTTGGTGGGTCAGATTTTGTGTCCTCATTTTACTATGTTGAGGGGTAGTTCTAATCAATTAAACAAAGTATTTTTTTTTTTGCTTACAGAAGAACTGCATTTCAATGCTATTCAAGCGGGTGATGGAAATACTATGAAAATGAATATTGATTCTTCGTTCAAAGGGCAAGTTAATGTTGCGCAAGGGGGAACCAACAATACATTTATATTGTACCTGTTAAAAGACAATCGACTCGGAGGCCTAGAGTACAAATCCACAGGATATGGTGAATTTAATCATTTTAAGGACAAATAACACAAACTTTTTCAGAAATAAGCAATATATCTAATAAAGTTTTGCCCATATAAGTAAATTGAAAATATTTGCCAGAGTAATAATTTTATATAAGATTTTGTAATAATGTCATAAAATTTGTGCAAGTATTTATTTATTTATTTTTGTATTATTTATCCTTAAGACTTTCATAAAAATAAATTCATGATTTGATGTTTTGTTCATAAGACATTTTTAATATGATTCAAAATTTTCAGTCCAAGCTACAGCTGTTCTTCACTCAGACGATCCCGCATTCCAAGAGTTAACAGAAAACGCAAGTGGCCTGAGCATCGAGGAAATTAACGAACTCCCTGCTTTAAAAGACAACAACGTTTCTATCAATGAAATTAAACGTGGGAGTCTAGTGATATCATTTATGTACAATAATAAAGATACATTGGAAAAAAATCTCGACAGGATATTCCAGGGTATTTTTACAAAAGAAAAGATAGAGGAAGTTTTTAGGAGGCATCAGGTCCAAAATGTGACAGTAAAAGGATATATTTATGATCATCTGGACTACTATCTTGATTATGGTAAGCAGAATAAAGCATTTAGCGTTTAGCATGTGAGAGGTGCCGGTTTCAAATCCCGGACGAATTTTTTTTCTTTTTTTTTTTTTTTTGGATTTACTAAATGATACTATTCAACATGTGAAATGAAAAAGTTATGACGTCTGGCTTGTACAAACTCATAAAATCATTATTACAGTGTGATAAATATTCTATATAAAAAGAATCTTCTTTACATATATTAAAGAATAAGCAATCAAATCTTTATATCCATATTGGCATTTTTTATTTGCTTCAATATACATGTATACATTTAATAATTCTACAAATCCAGGGGGAGGAGTCCGACCCCCCCCCCCCGAACTGCGCATGCTCTTCTTTTTCCCTAAGCGGGGGACACAAATTCTCTGAATTACCTTGTTTTTATTGTATAAAAGTCGCTTGGCACTATTTTTAGCATAGGGGCATGTGGAGAGTTATTACGCATAATACGGGTTGTCGGCGGACTTTATATTCTAATTACATCTATTAGAACTGTTCAGTAAAGGCTAAATTAGACAACCTGTATCGTGTAAAATTTTAACAATATCGAACGTGAATATAAACATTATATGTGACCTAATGTTTGCATTTAATTTGCTGTTCAAAGCATTCCAAAGGTACAAAATCTTCACTCGTACCAATTCCGATTTTTTTAAATCAACTATTTGCATAGCAGTGCCGCAGCTAAATATGATCCTTGCAGATGGAGACAGCTATTTATACAGACTCCGGACCGTGGTTTGACACCTCGTAGTAGGCGGTGCTAATTATTAACTTGCTTTTCTCTCATTGGTCCTCTGGTACAAGTAACTTACACAATAGATATTAATTGGTTAGCGGTAAATACACTCACAGTTTTTATTCACTCGGGGCTCCGCCCCTCGTGAATGAAAAACTGTGAGTGTATTTACCGTTAACCAAATAATATCTATAGTGTAACTATAAGAAGCTTCCGTCAATATTAAGATCGGTGAATGACGAAAATGATTTGCATATTTCCCTTTTTAATCGGTTATTACAACATTTCTTTTATATCATTTAAATCAAGTTTTGATTGAATAATTTAGTGATGACGTTTTATGAAATAAAGAAACGATTGCTTGTTGTCAGTTTCATTAAAAATTGCCAGTAACTTATATCCGCCAACCGGAACCGCCACCGTACTCACGTTTTTGCTATTTCATGGCTGTTATAGAAAATGAAAGTAGACTTTTAATTTAATGTACGATACTTACTATGCAAGTGAAATCTTAATATAGCTTAGGGACATCATCTTATATCTAGTGTATTCTTAGAAAAGTAAGTAAGAACTCTGGTGCACACGTTTCGGAGTTTATTTGCAAAATTTATTAATTTATAAGTATAGAAAGGACCCAACCGCTGAAAATTGCGACTCTCCGACGAAATACAATAATTGTTTTTCTTTTTTTTTAAATTATAAGCACACAAACTTGATAGAAACAAGCTAATTCAGAGAATTTGTGTCCCCCGCTTAGGGAAAAAGAAGAGCATGCGCAGTTCGGGGGGGGGGGGGGGGTCACACTGCCCCTTCTGGATTTGTAGAATTATTAAATGTATACATGTATATTGAAGCAAATTAAAAAAAAATGCCAATATGGATATAAAAAATTGATTGCTTATTCTTTAATATGTGTATAGAAGATTTTTTTTAATATATAGAATATTTATCACACCGTAATAATGATTTTATGAGTTTGTACACGCCAGACGTCATAATTTTTTCATTTCACATGTTGAATAGTATCATTTAGTAAATCCAAAAAAAAAACATAAAAAAGAAAAAGGGAAACGTCCGGTGATTGGCCTCTCGCTTGATAAGCGAGCAACATACCACTAGACAACGGAGGCACTTGATCATGTAGCAGATTAAATGCAAACATTAAGTCAAATATAATGTTTATATTCACGTTCGATATTGTCAAAGTTTTACACAATAAATGTTGTCTAATTTAGCCTTTACTAAACAGTTCTAATAGATGTAATTAGAATATAAAATCGGCCGACAACCTGTATTATACGTAATAACTCTCCACATGCCCCTGTGCTAAAAATAGTGCCAAGCGACTTTTAATACAATAAATAAAAAAAAACGGGGCGGGACACTTTGAGAGTGGCAAGAGAGGCCCTTGGGAGTTATGGTATGAAATTTCATTGCAAAAGCTCAAAAGCTTCTTGAGATATCACCCGGAAACAATGTGTTACACACAGACGGAATTTATGAATTTATAACCTTGACCTTTGACTTTTTAACCTCAAAATCAATAGGGTTCTTTTTTAGGCCATAGGGAATTGCTATGCAAAATTTCTTTGCGAAAGCTCAAAGGGTTCTTGAGATATCGCGCGGAAACGAAAGTGTTACAGACAGAAATACAGCTAGACGGACGGACAGACAGACCCAAATTAATATCCCCCACTTTCAGTGAAAGCGGGGGACAAAAAAGCATAAACACACAGAACAGATATGGTAAAGCTAAACATAAGCACTCGTTATATTTAAAGAAAAACAATACATAAGCATAAAAAGAATTCCTTAAAGGGAATTATTATTTCTAAATTTTAGGGTTCATTTTGATTATGGTCATATTGTTATGATTTTAATAATAAATATATTATTATTATATATTAAATGATAAAAATATGATTTTAATAAATGTTTTCTCATTAAAACATTTTTTTCTCTACTCTTAGTTCCAAAAGAACTAATTCACTCAGGAGGTTTAGCAAAGGTCCACTGGTATTCACATTTGACATGGAAATTTGCTGAGTGTACATGCGATGTCGACGTCATTCTAAGTGATTTACTGCATAATCTCTTACTCTATGATGTCACAACAGAAGGTACATGTATATAGTTTTTAAGATTGAACATAAGAAGAAATACACAGTACTAAGTTTTGTTAATTATCTATTTCTTTATATGCAATAAAAATATTTTAAGGAATCGTCAACATTTTGGAAAAAAATCGTCTAAACACTCAACTTTCTGATTTTTTTTTTTTTTTTTTTTTTTTTTTTTGTTTTGTTTTGTTTTTTTTTTTTTTTTTTTTTTGCAGCAAATGACAACATTTGGATCATGATAAAAGGTAGCATTATCAGTCCAGATGATGTGGACTTTTCATTGATCGAGCGTTTGTTGGTTGTAAATGTGGATTCCAAGATTAAACGCATCAACGACGAATTAAATAAATTAGGACAATGTGAAATTCAGTACATTACTCAAAAGAAAAAGACGATACATATGGTTTTGAAAGTAAACGATTGTCTTAGCTATTCCGATATATTAGCAGAAGAAGGAATTCTTCTTCCTATCCTGAAAGCAATCTTGTGGTCTGAGGAGAGTCACGATTTCATTTCAAAAGTTCAACTAATGAGGATTGGCCTGATTATTGACACAAAGTGGACACAGAACCAATCAGTTCAGACAAGTCACTGTAAGTACATACTCCAAGCGAGGTTTTTTGATTAAAACAAATCATCAATACAATACTGATCTAAGGATGTATAAGACTAGGATTTTAATGCTGTTATATGCAGGTCCGTGGTCATTTGTCATTGTTTACGTTCGTTTTCCCAGAGTTAGCGCTCTTGTTTAAATTACAAGATGAAAATAAGTAAAATTGGAACGAATGCAGATTGTTAATGATACGACGAACATGAATTATAAAAGGTTGATGACACTTTTGTATGATGACCAGTATCTATAAAGGGGATGGCGGCTTACCTAGACGTACATAGAATTTGGAACACGCGTTGGTAGCCTGGTACAGAGAAATGATTAACTCGTTTCTTTAAACAATGCATACCTCGCGATTACCCAACATAACGGAACTTTTTAGCGATGGAGGTAGGAATCGTCTGTTAAGACCTCTTTACACGGTAAAGCAAACTGTACAAATAAAATTGATGCAAAGCATCAAATCGGCCGCAAACATGTGTAGCATTTTAAAGTATTTCCGTATGAAAGAGTTCTGAAAATTAAATTTGAAAGTACAGAAAGTAAACGATACATTTTACTTGCAAAACTGTATACATGTACTTACTTGTTTAACTATTAATCAAGAAATAAATTATTCCATGGATATTGAAATAAAGAATAGGATTATATCATCATCAAATTATTTATCGCAAAATGAATGTTGCAAATTTTTCACGTGCTGATACCCTGATCTTTGTCATGTGATAATGCCGGCCCGATGTTTTCGTTGTGATAGACAAGCATCACAATAAATGCCAAGTGCAGAAAAAATCATTATGTCATTTGCAGCTATAGTGCATTTTGCTTATATTTTTTTTTCAACATTTTTTAATCATTTTGTCTAATTGATATCCGGAAACATTACGTTCTGTGTTTATATCTTACACTCTCCCATGTTAGGGAGCAGTTCATGTAATAACTTTCAATAAAATCATAAATTAATAAATATCTGATGAGAAATGAAAAACTAATTAAAACGTAACTTTTACCATTTTGATTTGTTATTAAGCAAATTTTAAAAACTTTTATTTATAATTTTCATAAAAGTTATTAGTAAGAAAATATTCTATCTGACAAAGAAAAAATAACGACTCAATTCACCATGTGCACATTCTAACACAACCACAAATAGATCGGCCGCTCCTGCGGCCGATAATAAACCTTGTCGTATACAGCAAACTGCTACCGTACGTGCCACCTCGGAGTCATATATTTCACGCGTTCAAATAGAGCGTGTCTCTATTGTGTACAGCAAGTCGCATGAGACTTACTTTCTCTGGACAATCAGTGCTCTGGGATTTGGGTGATCTATTTATGCTTCACTGACTACTTTATTTTTTTAAAGAATACTTCAAACTTTTAATACGTGTACAGGCTTGTTCAAATTTAAAATGTAAAAGATATTTTTACACTTTCTTTGAAAAAAATATTTAAAAATTCACTACATAAGCGAGAATCATACCCGAAGACCACGGAGGCACTTTAATATACAGCAAATAAAAGGCAAACATTAGGTCACATATAATGTTTATATTCACGTTCGAATTTTGTCAAAATTTTACACAATACATGGTGTCTAATTTAGCTATTACTAAGCAGTTCTAATAGATATAATTAGAATTAACAAGTCCGCCGACAACCTGTATTATACGTAATAACTCTCCACATGCCCCTGTGCTAAAAATAGTGCCAAGCGACTTTTAATACAATAAATTTAAAAAAAAACGGGGCAGTACACTTTGAGAGGGGTGAGAGAGGCCATAGGGAGTTAAGGTATAAAATTTCATTGGAAAAGCTCAAAGGCTTCTTGAGATATCGCCCGGAAACGAAAGTGTTACACACAGACAGAATATATGAATTTACGACCTTGAATTTTACCTTTTGACCTCAAAATCAATAGGGGTCTTCCTAGGCCACAGGGAGTTGTTATGTAAAATTTCATTGCAAAAGCTCAAAGGATTCTCGAGATATCGCGCGGAAACGAAAGCGTTAAAACAGACAGAATTTATGACCTTTGACCTTTTGACCTCAAAATTAGTAGGATTCTTCTTTAGCCATAGGGAGATAGGGTTTTGCTATGCAAAATTTCATTGCGAAAGCTCTAAGGGTTCTCGAGATATCGCGCGGAAACGAAATTGTTATAGACAGACAGAAATACAGACGGACAGACAGACCCAAATTAATATACCCCACTTTCAGTGAAAGCGGGGGTCAAAAATCGTATAAAATAATTAAGAGCGATGAAACTTTATATCAAAATGGACGTCTTAAAGATCCTTCAAATAAAATTTTGGTTAGCATTCCTTCTTAATTGTCTCCCGCTTTTACTGTAAGTGGGGGATATTAATTTGGGTCCGTCCGTCTGTATTTCTGTCTGTCTGTAACACTTTCGTTTCCGCGCGATATCTCAAGAACCCTTTGAGCTTTTGCAATGAAATTTTGCATAGCAACACCCTATGGCCTAAAGAAGAACCCTATTGACTTTGAGGTCCAAAGGTCAAGGTCATAAATTCATAAAATAATTCTGTCTGTTTTAATACTTTCGTTTCCGCGCGATATCTCGAGAATCCTTTGATCTTTTGCAATGAAATTTTACATAATAACTCCCTGTGGCCCAAGGAAGACTCCTACTGATTTTGAGGTCGTAAATTCATACATTCCGTCTGTGTGTAATACTTTCGTTTCCGGGCGATATCTCAAGAAGCCTTTGAGCTTTTATAATGAAATTTTATACCATAACTCCCTAGGGCCTCTCTCGCCCCTTTCAAAGTGTCCCGTCCCCTTTTTTTTAATTATTATTTATTGTATTAAAAGTCGCTTGGCACTATTTTTAGCACAGGGGCATGTGGAGAGTTATTACGTATAATACAGGTTGTCGGCGGACTTTATATTCTTATTACATCTATTAGAACTGTTTAGTAAAGGCCAAATTAGACACCAGGTATTGTGTAAAATTTTGACAATATCGAACGTGAATATAAACATTATATGTGACCTACTGTTTGCATTTAATTTGCCACTTCATCAAGTGCCTAAATGGTCTAGGGGTATATCTTTCGCTTAGCATATGAGAGGACCCGGGTTCAAATCCCGGACGATCCTTTTTTTTTTTTTTTTTGAATTTTTTTTTTTTTTTTTTTGGATTTACTAAATGATAGTATTCAGCATGTGAAATGAAAAAGTTATGACGTCTGGCTTGTACGAAGTCATATAATCATTATTACAGTGTGATAAATATTCTATACGAAAATAATCTTCTATACACATATTAAAGAATTAGCAATCAAATCTTTATATCCATATTGGCATTTATTATTTGCTTCAATATATATATGTATACATTTAATAATTCTACAGATCCAGGAGGGGGGGGGGGTCGACCCCCCCCCCCCCCGAACTGCGCATGCCTTTTTCCCTAAGCGGCGACACAAATTCTCTGAATTAGCTTGTTGTATTTCAAATCGACCGGTAGCCAAAAACGCAGTGAAAGAGCAAAAAGGTCTGCTGGTGAAATTGAATTTCTCATTAATGTGTCCCTCTTCTTTATAAATGGGAAATTGCGTCCAGAGGATCATCAAAAGCTGCCACATCTATTTGCAAAAAAATTCTGTTGACAAAATGAAAAAAAAAACTGTTCTTTTTCATGGGACGTTCTGTTTGTTTAATTAACAATAGAGTGGAATTTCATTCTGTTTTACCATTGTAGACATGTGAGGAATATATTACAAAAGTTGTATACGACATGTTTCTGTGTAAACCGGCCTTAAGCTTGGGGACAATGTGCTGTTGAATACAATGCGAGATTGATCATTCTAGATTTTATACGGACAGATAAGAAAGATGTCCTGGTGAAACATCTTGCTGAACATTCGCTGAACCACGCAAATAAAACATGAGATGAGCTAGACTTCGTGTGTTGCATTTTTGATGAAACTTTAAGCCGACTCCTCTAATCAAATTCAACTATTTCTTTCTGAAAATCGTTAGTTTTGGGAGCTGATTAAATACTTTTTTACATTCCTAATTAGACAACTTACTATTGAGAGTTCTGCCCTTGGCAATACATTGTACTTTCGGCATACCGACTGATGGAATCATTGGATTGTCACTAGTGTAAACAATAATATTGTTATACCTATGTTATGTCCCTGAAATCTTGCGAGATTTAGAGCTTCCTCGACTTCGCCGCAAATGAGCGGCAGTAAGTTAGATAACCGCGAGGTAATCGCGATGCTAATAATTGACCCTTGGTATTTTTCTACTTTATTTATTCTCGCTTGCACTGAATAGAGTGACGTATTTTTACATAATCATCAGTTTTGTTTACTGAGTTACCGTTTGATAAAGGTCGCCCGCATGGCGCAGAGGTTACAGTGTTTTCCCTAGAGTCACGGTGAAAGGAGTTGATCCTTACGTCTCGGGTTCGAATCCCACTGCGGGACGTGGAGACCGGTCCTTCAGATGAGACAATATAAACCGAAGTCCCATGTCGCACCAGGTGCTGTCACTAAAATAATCCCTGCTCAATGGTCCTGAGTGCCGAGTATAGGTCTAAATTTGCAGTCCTCCACCGGCAAGTGGTGGCGTCTCCATATGAGTGAAAAATTCTCGACAGTGACGTTGAACAGCAAACAAACCATTTAATAAAACCACACTTCCGGTACAGAAGTCACCAAAGGATATGGCATATATTTGGGTACTACATGCACATCGTGATTTCATTGTTAATAATTATTAGTTATTCATGTTCAATCAAGGATACACGTGGATTTATCCCGGGTTGGGCGGGGCTATATCCTGTTTTCTGCAACGCGTTGCTTATAAGTTTTGGGGTACTTCTACAGTAATTCTTTGAAAAAATGAATGGTAGTCCGATATTATTATATTTAGAACAACGCAAATTATCGTTCTTTACGCTTTTAAGGAATAAGCCGCATGGATTTAAAACTACCCTGA